CATATATATATATATATATATATATGTAAATATTTTGGTTTTGTATTTTTCGTATGTCATATATATTTACACACATTATGTAAATACAAACTTTGGATAAGATTAATCGCGATTAATTGTTTGACAGCACTAAATGTGTGTGGTTTGCTGCGCATGTGTAGGTCTGTGTGTGTGTGTGTGTGTGCATTTGTGCTGTTTGTGCATATATGGGTGTGTCTGCTTGTATGTGTGTGCAAGTATGTGTGTGTGTGTGTGTGTGTAATAACCAAACAGAAAACTACAAGCACTTTCAGTCTTCAGTGATAATGATATTTCCATCTTAGCTCAAACATAAACGCACTTTCAAGAAAGAAAGGTAATGCAATAATAAATGATAATGGTGTGTGTTTGCCATCATGTGCTGGTAATATTGTGTCTCTCGTGATGTTGTAAAGGACTGTGTCCTGAATGCGTCTGCTGAATGAGCACATGCTGATAATGTACACATCTGATCTAAAAAAAATCTGATGTTGTCTGACCTTTAGGAGGATTCGACTGCGGGGGTTTGGGGGAGATCTCTCCATTCGGGGAAACAGGAGACGTCAGTTCAGACTGTAAGAGAACACACACACACACACACATAAGGTAAATGGTGGGTTTGCCGTCAGACATCAGTAATACATCAGGATTTATTGTTATAAAACAAGATGACTATTAATTGTTATTTACAAAGAAAGCCTAATACATATTTTAAAAATAAGTCCACATGGTTTTCTTCAATTATTTTTGTTTATATTATTATTTATAATATTATATAATACAGTCTGATTAAACACACAAAATATAATTATATAAAAAAACACTTTTAAAGTTTTTAAGGAAACTCTTAATCTTTACTCCTTGACATTATGACAATATTATTATTATTATTATTATTTTAGCATTTTGGGATATTCAAAATCTTTTTTAAAAAGCCCAAATCATGTTTTTAAGGCATTAATTCATTCATTCATACATTCATTTCCTTTTCAGCTTAGTCCCTTTATTGATCAGGGGTTGCCACCGCGGAATGAATCGCCAACTATTCCAGCATATGTTTTACGTAGCAAATGCGCTTCCAACCGCAACCCATCACTGGGAAACATCCATACACACTCAATCATACACACACTACGGTCAATTTTAGTATACCAAATATACAATTTGGATTGTGGGGAAACCGGAGCACCCGGAGGAAATCGGAGGCAACACGGGGAGAACATGCAAACTCCACACAGAAACACCAACTGACCCAGCCGAGGCTCAAACCAGAGCCCTTCTTGCTGTGAGGTGTAAGGCATTAATTATTAATATTATTAATAGTCAATTTAAAACTTCTTAAAACATTCCAAAGTGAAATCTCTGTTGTGGTAATGATATATCATTATTTAAAAAAAAATCTTAAGGGGGCTAAGAATATTAGTAGTTTATTTTTATTCCAGACAAACTAAAAAAAATAAGAAGAAAATATATCAAAGGAAATAAAGTGAAAATATTGAAAAAATATTTTAATAAATTTTGTCTTAAAACAACCCTTATAATAAATAAATATTATTATAAATAATAATAATATTGCCCTTAATTTCCTTTATGTGGGTGGCCAAATGTAAGCTTTAACACATTTATCACGATTATCTAAAGCAGTGTTTCTCATCTGGTGAGTCACGACCCAAAAGAGGGTCGCAGGAACATTTTCAGTGCGTCGCGGAGTGTGTGGTCAAAAAAAAAACAACAAAAGTGAAATGTTTTACTTATTTTGCTTATACCAGACTTTTATTTTGAAATGTATGCGTGACAACCCTACTGTTTGACATGTAAAATTTCTAGTATGGATATATATATCGACGACAGAAAAGATTTAAAGCCTCAATGTCATATGTAGTGAGGTGTAGTGAGAGCAAGAAACCTTTTAAATTTAAACAACATTTAAAACCAGAAAACTTGTTTTATTAACAGTTTATTATTAACAGTATTTGTCTTTTTACTTTGCAATATTTCTATAATTTGATCCATTTTGTTAAATGACGGCAATAAAATAGTGTTTATTTGTTAGTTTTGGTGAATTTCTTATGCTGTATCTGTCACTGCTTGTTTATGTTAACAAATAGATACAAATTAAGTATAATTCCTAAAACTGCATTATAGTTCCTAAACATTTGGGTCGCAGCTTGATGACCATGTAAAAATGTGGGTCCCATGGCCAAACCAGTTGAGAACCCCTGATCTAAAGTAATTGCAATCTGATCAAATAACCATGATTAAGATGAATAATTAATAATCATTACAAGCTTGTGTACAGTATTACAAGTGTAAGTAAAACATCCATGCATCTGATATATAAATCATCTCTGTGTGTGTGTATAATCACTGCAAACATCATGCTCTTACTCAGAGCTTTTCTCTTGTTTCTAGTTCAAATATCTAAAAATTCTCAAATTAAGAAACATTCTCCAGACAAGCAGAAAACATTGTTTTGCTTTTAGAAATAAAGGGCCCTATCATACACCCGGTGCAGTGTGGCGCATGGCATGACGCAGTAGTCTTTTGGTAGTTTCAGCTTGGCACAAGAGTTGTTTTGAGGCGTTGCGCTACGCTGTTTAAATAGCAAATGCATTAGCGCTCATATGTGCGCTCATAGGCGTTCTGGTGTAAATAGGAAGGTGTTCTGAGGCGGACCGCTGGCGCGTTGCTATTTTGAGAAACTATAATAGATTTTTCATTAGACCAAAACTAACCCGGTCTAAACTCCAGCGCAGAGTTGCGCCTCGCTTACACACTGCTTAATACACACAAGAGAGCAATAGGCAAATATATTTACATATGAAAAAATGTAAATATTAAGGATATATATAGGATATAATAAGAATAGATATAGGATATAAATATAAAGGATTAAAATATTACAAAACATATTATTTTCTAGCCTACATGAATATAAAAAATCACTGCTTTTATGTCTTCTTCATCTCGGGAGGCTTTTTCAGTTCATTCATAACAATTTGCTTTTGTATAATGTTATTATTATTAGCAGTATTATTTATTATATCCATATTTATATTTGTTTTATTAAAAACAAGCTTAGATTTGTCCACCTGTCAGGTTTTAGACCATATGGGGCACAGCATGTGTTTTAGGATATAACTCAGGTTTTTGAGCACATTTTGTTATTATTGTTCATTTATTCGTTTGCTGGAAATTAGAACTGAATTTAGAAATAGTTTTGAAACGAATATTTGCGCTTAACAAACAAAATTAATTATTTATAGACTAATTGATGTCTGTGCGTAAAGGTTTCCCTATCCAAGAGCGAAAGTGAAAGTAGATCCATTATCTCTCATTCTCACGCAGTAGATGCTCTGTTTAACTGTTCTCTGTTAATAAACTGTGAACTGTTTGCTTGTGAAATGCTCAGTTTTTCCACTTAGACTTACTTTGCGTCCTGTAAATAGCGAATGCGCTCTTGGCGCGACGCTGCTGGCTCTTAAAGGGAATGGGAGATGAGACTCTGATTGGTTTATTCTCAAAACACACCTATAACTCATTAAGAAAATAAACTCAACCCTTTTAGACCATGCGCCACGGCGCAAAGCAGATTTTCCCGTCTGTAAATTAGCAAAAACGCGTCCTGACACGCCCTAAAGGCCTTTGCACCCTGCGTTTTGCGCTCTGCGCATGGACCGTCAAAATAGAGCCCAAAGAGTCAAAATGAAGTAAGTCTAACCTTAAAACAAGCAAAAATAATCTGACAATGGGGGAAGCACATGACGTTACTTCAAACCGAAAACTGGACTATTTCTCTTCCCCCATAGTCAGATTATTTAGCTTCGTTTAAGGAAAAGCTCTCTTCATTTGGACTTATTATTTCAGAAAACAACAGTATGATTTGCTTGTCTATAAAATGCTTGTTGATTTAAGAAAGTTTAGATATTTGGACTAGAAACAAGACACAAACTCTGAGTAAGAGAGGCATGTTTGCAGTAATGCTGTGTATAGTGTGTGTGTGTGTGTGTGTGTGTGTGTGTGTGTGTGTGTGTGTGTGTGTGTGTGTGTGTGTGTGTGTGTGTGTGTGTGTGTGTGTGTGTTGTCCTGCTGAACACTGGGCAGTTGTTGGGTTATTTGAGTGCGTCTGTCCTTCATATCCACTGATATTTCAGCTGTCGGAGCAGCTGAGCGTGATTCACCACTGATTCAACAGGACAAAACCATCTTTAAAGAGACAGTTCACACGGAAATGTCCATGCAGTACTGTAAAAATATCCTCAGATAAGTAGTTATTCATGTTTAGTGATACATGTGATTATCTTTCCCTGTTTATTTCTGCTTCTGATTTGCATATGGGTTCTTGATCTTTGAATTATGAAAAGTTTCATAAAAGGGACTGATGTGTAATAGTGTGCAGTGCTGTATAGTGTGTGTTAGTGTTGTATATTACACTACAGAGAGCTTGTAATAAACTGCAGCACATTTACTCTTATTTTACACTCTCATTCCTCTACATATTATTTCTTATATTATTTTAAACCACTAAAAATGTCAGTAAAAGTCTCTTTGTTAAACTGTAGAGTTGAATTGTCAACATCAGAAGTGGACAGAGCAGAGATCAACATCCCATAATGCAGTTCACCACCGCTAATAAACACACAACACACAGACACTGTTGATGAGCAGAGGTTTACAGCGTACATCATTTACTCATCCTCAGATTGTTCAATACCGAACACGTTTCTGTGTTCTGCTGAGGTATTCATCAGATCTCGACACTCATTTAGCTGAAAAAATAATTGCTATGGGAGTAAATGGGTCTCTTTAAGGATTTCATTTCTTTTTTATAAATTTAGTTAAATTAGTTGCATGCAGAACTTTCAGTTTCAGCCCAGAATCTTCACTTATTGGGAACACGCTCTGCAATAATAATCATTGTAGGATTGAACAGTGAGTTCTAATTGGATCTGACTGCTAGCGCTCACCTTGAGCTAGTGATTGAGCTATGACTGTATATTACTAGGAAGCATTCTCATCTTGGTTTTCGCCCCAGTGCATGCAGAATTCTCCGTTTCAGGCCTAATTGAAGGACAAACAGCCAATTAAAAAGGAAAATTTGGATCAAAAACTGTTGTGGAATCTAATAATGACTAATAATGAATTGTAATCTGATCATGAAGTCGCTAACATTCACAGCGTTCACTGCTTAAGTGTTGACTTTATATTGACACAAAGCATTTTCATTTTCTGTTTGCACCCAAGTGCATGCAGATATTCCAGATTTTGGGCCAGGAAATTCCTGTGTGAAAGACGCACAGGCAAATAAATCAGAAAAGCGTGGGTCAAAAAACCTTTTGGAATGGAATTGACTGAAAGTGACTCATTAAATCAACATAGGTAAACAAAGTTAAATCAGTGACATCAAAATCAAGCTAAATTAGTTGCATGGAGAATCAGTTCTGGCCCAGAGTGTTCATTTCAGTGCATCTCTATTGGAAACACGCACAGCCAAAAACCAAATCATGACTTTGATCGTCACTGTTCGATCTCACCGCTGGTTCTGGCGTGGAGAAGACGTCCCGCACGTGCCTCGTGGGCTGGCGGTTCTTCTTGCGCAGTGTGTGTGTGTAGTTGTCCAGCCGCTTCTTCACCATGGCGGCCTGAGAGTGTGTGAGCGTGGACAGAAGAGCCTCCGTCGGGCCGTCGCCCTGAGCTCCTGTAATCAGTGTGGTGAGCCCCGCATCCTGCAGCCACGCCTCCTCAAGCTCCGCCTCTGAAATGCAAATCAGATCAGAGTCAAATCACACACACAAGCACAAACACACACACACACACTCTCTGTCTCTCACACACAAACACTCTTTCACACACACATACTGACAAGCAAACACACTCTCTCTCACACAGACACATGCGCACACACTCTCTCTCTCACACACCGTCTGTGCTGGCCTGCTCAGCTGGCTCCTGTTGGTGTGTGTGTGTGTCCTCCTGGATGTTCTTGACTTCGCTCCAGTAATCCTCCATGGAGTCTCGAGACACACATTGCTCTGGAGACGCAGGGGCCCCGGGGCCACACACACTCATACTGACGATCGGCTGATGCTGCGCCTTCCTGAGGGAGACACAGACGTGAGAGAAAGAGTGAGAGAATGTGTGTGTGAGTGTGTGCGTGTTTGAGAGAGAATGTGTGCTTTGGTATATGTGTGTGAAAGAGAGAGAGAAAGTGTGTGTGTGTGAATTTAATGAATTAGGTGACCCCCCTCATTGTGCCACAACCCCCGCTTTGGGAAACACTGATTTAGAGGACGACATAATATCATTATTTCAGCTGACCAATATATTTTTATAATGGATAAAGCATAATATCTGTGCTTTAAAAACAAAAGAACAGAAAGAGATGCAGAAAAGTAAAAGCATGAAGCCTCACGAAAACAAGAAAACTAAAGTCTCAAACACTGATCCGTCACACACTCAATACATGTCATTTACTCACACACACACCGTTATTCTCGAGGGGAACAGTGGAATAAGGAGATGTAGAGGGAGGATCGGGACAAAATAAGTAAATACAGAAAACAAATTCTAAAAGAGAACACATAATGAAAATATTTATAAAAAAAACAATAAAACAACTGAGAAAAATAGAAAAAGAAGAAGAAAAAATGGAGGAAATAAAGGGAAACAATGAAAAGAGCATTAAAAAGGCTCATAAAAGAGACAATTAAATGGTGACTGATGTCAGACATCCCATCATATTCATCATCAATGACTATCTCATTCAGAATAGTGTCAGATAATCATTACACTTACTGAGATACACAGAGTTTCATTCATCCATTCACCACAGAAGTGAACATTCACACACACACACACACACACACACACACACACACACACACACACACACACACACACACACACACACACACACACACACACACACTTAGTCATTCAACTTGATGAACTCCAGAAAAATCCAGTCAGTGACGACCACATCCACTAAATATCTGCACATTCTGTACTGAACTGAACTCGTCTAATGACGTCTCTACACCTGTATGAGAGGTATGCTTCCCGCATCTGTGTTGCCAGATCTTACCATGAAAATACATCAATCAAACACGAGCCTATAATCAACTTCAACACAAGTGTGTTACATTAAACATCCACAAACCAAAATATGACAAGATGCACTGTATTAACTCAACATCTCGAAGCAAAGTCACTTATAAATACCGTGGCTTAAAATAAGTGGACATGGCAACATTTCAGGAGCTTTCAGAAGTTTAATAGCAAGATCTACAGCATGATGTGAAGCCAATCTCTTCATTCATTTTCCTTCAGCTTAATCTGTTTATTCATCAGGGGTCGCCACAGCGGAATGAACCGCCAACTATTTCAGCATAAGTTTTACACAGTGAATGCCATTCCAGCTGCAACCCAGTACTGGGGGTTGGAGGAAACACACGCCAACACGGGAGAACATGCAACTCCACGCAGAAACACCAACTGACCCAGTCGGGACTCAAACCAGCGACCTTCTTGCTGTGAGGCGACATTGCTGAGCCACAAATCATTTTAAAGTTTGTAAAAATAAAAATAAATCTGAATTAATGCACAGTTCGATTGCAATGCATCAATAAACCAAATGTCATGTTGCAATAATGATATGTCTAACAATATAACTAACAAATGCTAATTTATAAGCTATTTAAATATATATATATATATACATTTATGTAAATACCAGACTAAAATAAACAGATTTTTCTGATCAAATTAAATTTTAAAAACTATGCCAGTGCAAACATTTAGACTTTAAAACACCTAAAATGCTGGAAAGTGTGATTGTTATTGTCTGTAGCATTAGCATTAGTGTTTATTTTCAGCTCTAGGTACAGCTACAGGAGAGGCAGGGCTGAAGATAGTAAAGGCCACACCTGATTGGTCTTATTTGTTTTATTTGGGCTAGAATAAAAGCAGTTTTTAATTATTTAAACCCATGTTAAGCGCAATATTATTGGCCCCTTCAGCAATATTAGTGTTGGATTGTCTCCAGAACAAACCACTGTTATACAATGACTTGCCTAATTACCCTAACTTTACCCTAATTACCCTAGTGAAGCCTTTACATGTCACTTTAAGCTGAACACTAGTGTCTTGAAGAATATCTAGTCTAATATTATGTGCCGTCATCATGGAAAAGAGGAAATAAATCAGTTATTAGAGATGAGTTATTAACACTATTATGATTAGAGATGTGCTGGGAAATCTGCTCTCTGATAATTTGTAAGGGGGGGGGGTATTTTATACATAACATTAGCTAAATTTAATTAGCTTAAAGAAGTGCAACATGAATATTTTGCATATACTATTATCCTGATGATGATACAGTAACTTTCCAATATGTAGTGCAGCTCTACAATCCAGCAGACCATCTTCAGGTCTGAGACAAACACTCATATATGAGAAATTAAATATTGATAAGCTGATGATGATGCGAGTCTCTCAGCGGCAGGAAGTGAAGCATCATTTAGCGGACGTTATCGATCAGCGCCGCAAATGATGGAGCCTGAATTGCGTTACATGAAGATCTTAATAGCCTTCAGCAGTCTGCCTCTGTTTACACACACAGAAACACAATCTCCTGCGTTTCACTCCGAGCTTCATCTGGAAAACACCCACACACACACACACACACACACACACACACTGATGCCGATGTGAGGAGTGTGCGGATTCTGTTCATTACAAAATGACTTTCTTCATTCCATCTGCATGAGGAACGGCAGGA